GGGAGAGTGAGCGAGCGGCTGGGTGGTGCTCAGTTGCCGGCTGAGGTTAAACCACAACAAACTCTCATGACCATTCCAGCCAGTCAGTGTTTGGATTAGACAGTCAGTGTTTGGATTAGACTAGGATCATGTGACTGATTCCTTTTAGAGCCACCTTCTGGTCTATCACCAGACTTTAAAACAGAAGCAGGACTGGAAAGAAATCCAGAAACCCAGAACTAGATTCACAGGCTATATGGCCAAAGGTAAAGCACGGAGTTTCCTATTCCTATATAACCAGAAAACACTGGACGGATCATTCTTGGTTTGCTTGAAAAATTCATCTTAGAAAAGCACAGTTAAGGGATGAGCTTGTTCAGTGATACTGTGCTGTCACTAAAGATGAAGACATTTGCTGCATTCAACAGAACAAATATCCATTAAATAAGTTTAAGTTTAGTGCTTCTTTACTACATAGTTTCTAAAGAATAACTTAGAAATGACCATGTTAAAGTCAATCCAATAGATTGTTGCCGTATGTGTTTGGGGAATGAAATTCTGCATATCAAGGTCTTTCCAGACCAATAATCATTAAACTGCTGTAGCACTGATGTTTCGTTTGGTATTTTCCAAAGCTATTTTTGCAAAGCAAAGTTTACAAAAGCAAAAAAAGAAAAATATAAAGAAATAACTAATAAACTCACTAGTGGCCAAAGAAATAGGTGGAGCATAATTAATACTTATGTTTTATCAGAAATGAAGTAACACAAAACTCTGCTGACAGTCTTATTTTGGAATGTCTAGTTGGTTAATTTATCATCATCATCATGGAAGAAGCTGCTTTTCAGAAGAGATGTGAACTAGTCGTCAAATGTGTCAAGGACTTCATGTATACAGGACAAAGGACTTGGAGAAAACATCTGATCAAATTGCAAGGCGGCCAACAAAAGGGACACAGTAGAGAGCAATGTGAAGAGATGCTAGCTCAGGCCAGAAGGAACAGCACTTACACAAGACACACAGAAGTCATACAGCACAGTAAGAGACAGTGAACATCATGCAGCAGGAGGGAAAGCAAAAGTGGTACAAATTCAAAAGGTAGAAAGTGCAGGAGGGTGATAGGGGGTAAGTGGGTAGAAAAATGTTGACCAGTAAGGTTATGTACTACATCTAGCTACAAAAGTTTTCTCAGAGTTCAAAAAGGAAAATAGTTTTGCCGCCTAAGAGCGGAGAGTTAAAGTTCAATTGTTATAAACACTGTATAGCACTAATACTTCAGACATAGCCTGGATGTGACAGGACCCAAGATAGTCTTCATCCTTGCTGAGATACCAACTGATAAGGAATCCAACCCAAACTATTCTATGATTCTATAAGAGAGAGAAAGCAAATGGGATACAAATAAGGTAAGAAGCAGACTGTCTTCTTAGGACAAAACAATCTTGGCACTTGCTTCAAGCTAATGGTGCAGAGATCTCAAAGACTATGCAGTTCTGCACACTGTGGTTTAAAAAAAAGGAAGAGGGGTTGATGGAACAAGAGAGATATAATATGCTAACAACTCACTGCAGAAAGCAGGTGAAGCCAAACAAATGAATGAGATCACCCAAAACCAAGGTGTGAAAGGAGGAAAGCCCAAGCTAGAATCCCGTGAGACCCCTTAAAGGCAGGAGTGTAGTGGGAATGAGCTGCCAAGCACACACTGAAAGAACATCTGGATAAGAGAAGCTAGGAAAGAGGTGTATCAACAACTATGTTGATTAACGTATCCTACAATGATGAAGAGGCAGATGAAGCGTTCTACAAGCGGCTGGCAGAGGTCTCTCGATGACTGGCCCTTGTTCTCGTGGGGGACTTCAACTTCCCGGACATCTGCTGGAAATACAACATGGCAGAGAGGAAGCAGTCTAGGAGGTTCCTGGAGTGTGTGGAAGACAACTTCCTGACACAGCTGGTAAGTGAGCCTACCAGGGGAGGTGCCTCGCTCGACTTGCTGTTTACAAACAGAGAAGGACTGGTGGGAGATGTGGTGGTCGGAGGCCGTCTTGGGCTTAGCGACCATGAAATGGTAGAATTCTCAATTCTCGGTGAAGGAAGGAGGGGGGGCAGCAAAACTGCAACCATGGACTTCCGGAGGGCGGACTTTGGCCTGTTCAGGACGCTGGTTGAGAGAGTCCCTTGGGAGACCATCCTGAAGGGCAAAGGGGTCCAGGAAGGCTGGACGATCTTCAAGAAGGAAGTCTTAAAGGCGCAGGAGCAGGCTGTCCCTGTACGCCGCAAGAAGAACGGGCGGAAAAGACGACCGGCCTGGCTGAACGGGGAGCTTTTGCTGGGACTCAGGAAAAAAAGGAGAGTTTACCACTTGTGGAAGAAGGGGCAGGCGACTCAAGAAGAGTACAGGGATCTCGTTAGGTCGTGCAGAGAGGAAATGAGAAAGGCAAAAGCCCAGCTAGAACGCAACCTGGCCGCTGTCGTTAAAGACAACAAAAAAAGTTTTTACAAATACATTAATGACAAGAAGAGAGCCAGGGAGAATCTCCATCCTTTATTGGATGCGGGGGGGAACATTGTCACCGAGGATGAGGAAAAGGCTGAGGTACTTAATGCCTTCTTTGCCTCAGTCTTTAGCAATCAGACTAGTTACCCTCAGGGTACTCGGCGCCCTGAGCTGGAAAACAGGGATGGCGAGCAGGATGAACCCCCCATAATCCAAGAGGAAGCGGTCAACGACCTGCTACGTCATCTGGATACTCACAAGTCTATGGGGCCGGATGGGATCCACCCGAGAGTGCTGAGAGAGCTGGCGGAGGAGCTAGCCAAGCTGCTCTCCATCAT